ATAACAATGCATATAATTATATATACACAAATACACAAGCACAAAATACATATATTCCACATTTTCTCACCACAATTCATTATAACTCATCATGTACAATACAACATATATATAATCAAATATGGATAATCACCAAGCATATTCATCATGCACGTATCCATAAATCTCAACATTCCACATGAACATACACATATTATGTTTACTCACTAATTCACAATTACACATTCACAATTCTCAAATCAACAATTCATGTTCATAAGCATACTTTCATACAATGATCACATATTCACAACTCTCAACTACACAAGTAATGCACATACGCGTATTCCACCATTCTCACCATACTTCATCATAACTCATCATATACTTCACAAAGCATATATATATATATATATATATATATATATATATATATATATATATATATATATATATATATATATATATATATATATATATATATATATATATATATATATATATATATATATATATATATATATATATATATATATATATATATATATATATATATATATATATATATATATATATATATATATATATATATATATATATATATATATATATATATATATATATATATATATATATATATATATATATATATATATATATATATATATATATATATATATAGGCAAATACAATCATCAAACATATCAATAGTTCACAATTACACAAGTCATGTACATACACCTATGCATAACTTCATACAACAATCATATATTCATTCCATGAGACTCAATGCAACTCATGCCATGTGGTACCAACACTTATTATCATTTTTCGGTTTTTACACTTAAACCGGGTCCACCCTTCTAGACCGATAACAACAAAAGCCTGTTTCCTAAGCTTTCAAACCCACCCTTCTAGGTTTGGGACAAGCCACTAGTCTCCACAAAACTAGCAAACATTGTCTCTTGACTAAATGATGCATATGCAATCAATAACAAAATGCACTTAAGACCGATCACACGTCTTAATCCCATGCATTCACATAATTCCTCCCTTCAAGAATTAAACAAGATTGCACACACAACATATCATATAATCAAGTATTCATACTTTTCATCAACATATTTGTCAAACAATGCACGCATATCTTACAATATGCTCCCATGCATTAATTCACAATAATCGGATACAACAAATATGCATTCATAATTCAACCTCATTACCTTTTCAAACAATGCACACATATTCACAATATGTTCTCATGCATTCACAATATCGCATACAATCAATATGCATTTACACTTCAATATCATTACCACATTTATCAAACAATGCACACATATTCACAATATGTTCTCATGCATTCTTCACATACAAACAATATGCATATATTTGTCAAAAGACTATATTTCATAATCGATTCCACCATCTAGGATTCACGCCATACGGCTATCCACAGCATATCATATCACAACATGCACAAGCTATATGTTATATAACAAAAGTATTCTGCACAATAACACATCAATCCCACACATTCACGACGGTAAAAATCAACACAACAATATGTTTTTAATTTTCTGCTATAATTGAACTAGGTACAGGACTCAAAGCCATTTTTTCTAGAAAGATAATCTCGTTAACTTACCAACGCTTCGAACGAGGGTCAAAACCGACTTACGGTTCAAGAGTTATGAATTTTCGAAGTTTTCTGAAAAACCAGAATTTTGCCTAAACACGGCTACGGGATTTTGCATTTTCGCCCGAAAATCCGACCGATTCAATTCTTTTTTTTGAAACAAACACATACTCATACTCATCTAACATATAGCAGTGAATTAGAACCATTAAACATGATTTCTACGACGTCCGATTTTCACTCAAATCTCAAACCCTCAATTATCCAAAAATGTCAAAACTCACAAACTCAACCAAATTCAATCAAACGAAATCCAATAATCACGGCTAAACATTACCCGACTAAACTATGCAATTTTTTTTGAATTCTAACCGTTCAAAACTCGATTCTACCGATTAAACCATTTATGCCCTAGAAATGGAAAATAGAGAAAACTACCAACAAATCCAACACAACTCATACATAATCATACACATTGATCAAATAATAATGTTTCTCTCCCTTACCTTGATTGGATTGAAGCTTGAAGTTGATTCTTGATGATTTCTCCAAGTTTCCCTCTTCTCTTCTCTTTTCTCCTCTTTCTCTATTCTTTCTCTCCTTTTCTTTCTTTCTTTCTCTTATGTTTCTATCTCTTTTCTTTTCTCTCCAATTTCCCTTATATATCCTTTTATTTTCTTTCCATCATAATTCTTCTCTCAAAAATATCTATCAATTCATTTCTCACAAAATATCTCATTTTATCATTAATTAGAGAATATCTAATAAATCCACATTATTCTACAAAGTAGAATAAATTAATTAAATCCATTAACTCGTTTAAATAAATCCAATAATTTATTTAAATCAGATAAATCACATAAACCAATTAATTAGCATAATTAATCACTTATTGAAAAATTGGGTTGTTGCAACCCTTCCCCACTTTAGGAATTTTCGTCCTCGAAAATGTTACCTGATTCAAATAACTCTGGATACGACTCTCGCATCCTAATCTCCCAACTACCTCCACCAAAGGAATCTCTATACCTCGAAGTTGCTTCTCGTTCATCAACCTGAACTGGCAATGTCTCAACAATCAAATCCTCTCTCACTCGTACACTATCCATCTGAATCAATGCACTTCCTCAACTTAGACACATGAACACATCATGCAATTCCCACAAGCGACCGCGGTAAAACAATCTAACATGCTATTTTCTCCATGCTTCCGCTGCGCCACTCTGATACAGATCAACAAAACACAGTGGGTGCTTCCGAGACCTCAAGCTCGATCGACACCAGTTACTATTGTAACTCTCGAAACACGTCTTTTCTTGGGTTCTTTTAATCTTTCTAGTCGTCTCTTGCACAATCTCAGGTCCGAGTACAACACTCTCGCCTGGCACACATCAACATAAAGGATTCCTACACCTCTTACCGTACAAAGCCTCATACAATGTCATTCCGATACTAGAATGATCATTGTCATTGTAGGTAATTCAAGCAACGATAATTAACTATCCCACGATCCACCTTGATCCAACACACAAGCTCTCCACAAATTCCCTACATACTAGATAGTTCTCTTTGTCTGTCCATTCCGTCCACGGATGCTAGACAGAGTTCAACTTCAACATGACACCCAAAGCGTCTACAACTTTCTCAAAATCTCAACGAAAATTCAGATTCCCATCTGACACAATATTCGACGGTAACCCATACTACCCCGCAACTTCCTCACTATACCTCTTAGCTAGCTTCAGCATAGAATGATTCATCCTCATTAGTAAGAAATAAGTTAATCTTGCCAATCCATTCATAACCACCCAAGTCGAATCATATCCCTTCACATTTCTTCGAAAAACCCGACACAAAATCCATGGGAATACTATCCCATACCATTTAGAAATATTCAATAGTTGTATCAGGTCCAACAACCTCTGAGTGTAACAACCCAATTTTTCAATAAGTGATTAATTGTGCTAATTAATTGGTTTATGTGATTTATCTGATTTAAATAAATTATTGGATTTATTTAAATGAGTTAATGGATTTAATTAATTTATTCTATTTGGTAGAATAATGTAGATTTATTAGATATTCTCCGAAAGAGCAGGTCATATATATATATATATATATATATATATATATATATATATATATATATATATATATATATATATATATATATATATATATATATATATATATATATATATATATATATATATATATTCATGACATTGGTGGCTAAAATCCCCACACAAAGAAATAGAAAATTCATTTAATAACACCACTAATTTTTTCAAGCCCCCGTTAAATTAACTAGACTTAACAACATACACATTTATTATTTTAAAGTCAACTATTATCATTTTCAACTTTTTATTAATTGAATATTTATTTTTTAATTTGTATTTAATGTTTTCCTTAATTTTAGTATTTTACTTTCTATAATTCTTTAGGATTCTTTTATATCAAAGTAGCAATATAAATTATATTTTGGTATTTTTCTATCACTCTCTTTCAAAAGTTTAAAATTTTTACTTAACCATTAATTAATATTTGTTTTATATCAATTATTATTTGTTTATATGTGGACTTACTCAAAATTAATATTTAAAATATTAGTACGTATTTTATTAAATTTAACTTTTAACTACTAAGCCTATATGCATATACTCATAATTTTTATAGTATCATATAATAAATTTATTTGTATTATATTTTGTTAAATAATAAATTTTTAATATGCTATAAAAAAATTAATATTTGATAATATTATGAACATTTTGACTGTGTTGACTATGAAAAAGTTATTAAATATTAAATTTCGTAGAAGACAACTGTAATTTATAAATGGTTGTATACATTTTGATTTTTATTATTTTCTTTATAATTATGTATTTTTAATCTTTTTTAGCCCCCCTTAACTAAAATATTTGGATCCGCCAAAATATATATATATATATATATATATATATATATATATATATATATATATATATATATATATATATATATATATATATATATATATATATATATATATATATATATATATATATATATATATATATATATAAAAGAGATAAAAAAGAAAAGTTCTACAAAGGTTTATTAACAAAAACACTGAGATGCATAGATATATAAAAATAATGCTGTGTTCCTGGCGAAGGAATTAAAAATGATAATGTTCTATTTTTGATGAATTAAAAATCACAAGGCCTTCTTCGTGGAACTCATGCTAATTAGTTTACTTGTGGATCGTTTTCAAAGTTGTTGTCACATGCTATGTTTCAAATATAAGTATAATTTAATCAATGAATAAGAAGTTGAAATTGCTCTTCACTTGAGGCAGAAGTAATAATTCAACCAAAACACAAAAATTAAACAAACAATGAAGTTTGTTTGTTCACTCACCCTTTCCCTTGTCCTTCTTTCTTTCATCTCAAATCTTTCACCAGCTTTCTCAAAGGATGGTAGTGGAATAATTGACACAAATTTTTTCCCCGTTCACCAAGATGGTCGTTACTACATTGTCCCTTCATATTTCGCCATCCGAGTTGGAAGATTAAAACTAGCAAAAACTGGTGATTTTTCCAACTGTCCAGTTACTGTCTTAGAACAAGACTTTCCTACTGATGACAAAGGTGTATCAGTCAAATTCAGCATAATAGGAACAAGCTATGATATCTTGACAGGTACACCAATTGAGATAGAGTTCACAAAGAAGCCAGATTGTGTTGAATCATCAAAGTGGTTGGTGTTTGTTGATAAAGCTATTCAAAAATCTTGTGTTGGTATTGGTGGACCTGAGAATTATCCTGGTATGGAAATATTGAATGGCACGTTTAATATTCAGAAAAATGGACTTAGCACTTATAAGTTTGTATTTTGTGTTAGTGGATATAATACTTGTTCGAATATTGGATGGTATAAGAATGGTGAAGATGGAGCACGTTTGATTTTGACTGATAAACCGATTTCCGGTTTTTCCTTTTATGAGGCTCCTTATGAAGATGGAGTTATTAAGTCTGTTGTTTGAATTTTGAATTTGATAGCTAGAGCATGTAACTTTTGTTATTGTTTTGATGAATAATGTGCTTACACAATGTAACCATTTAATACGATGAATAATATATTTTTCATGTTCTTCATGGACTCTAATAGAGACTATGCTATTCTCAGTTCAACTCTAGGGTTGCAAAAAACTCAATTGACGCGGAAATAAGTTTCCTGATTGGAAAATTAAATTGCTAATTATATTTTTAATTGATTGCTGAGTTCCTAAGAAAATGTCTCAAAACTACATCGTCATAGTTAGAGGTAGCAATAAAATCCATTTAAATAATATCCATCCAATCTATCTAATAATTTATTCATCCAATCCATCCATAAAATAAAAAATAATTTAATGGATTTGATCCAATCCATCCACTAACTCATATGGATGGATTCAATCCATCCATCTCATTTTATAAATCCATTGGATATTATGTTGTCACTTATTAAATTAAGAGTTTTTAAATTAATTTTTTGGATGGATGAATTGGATGAATTTTATCTTTTAATAGATGGATTGGATTGAATTTTTATTAAGAGAGTTTAATGGATTGTTAATGGATTAATGAATTGCTTTGATCCATCCATTAATAATCAAATCCATCCATTTTGCCACCCCTAGTCATAGCCTTATAGAAATTATCTCATTTTTAATTTGGTTGCAAAGAACATACTTGAAGAGCATTGCTGATAACTCAATCACGAACGAAAAAGACAAGAGAAATACCATATGAGGAAGACGAAGAGGAATTAATTATGGTTTTATAAAGTATGGTTTTATTAGGATAAATAGCTTATATTCTGTTTATAGCACTGACTTTTATCATAATAAACGCCTATGTTTAAGCTTACCTAAATTATTTCTATAATAAATTATAAAATAAGTTAGATTATTTTTATATATTATAAGTTATTTTTATAACTTGTTCCGTTCAAAAATTAAAAATGGATGTAGTAGATGAATTGAATATCTTGAATCGGTGGTGTTGATCTCTTTGACTGCAGTGTGGGATGGATCTGCATGAGTAGCACTTCAACGCCCAAGTCAATTCAAAGTTCAAGATGAGTATGGTGAAAAGTGGAGATAAAAAAATGTACCATGTTTCTTATATATTGACTTTATACCATGGACTGAGTGGAGAGGATTTGAGATGAACTGGGTCTTGGCTATTTGAGTCTTTGACTAGTCCAAAACAATTGCCTCTAAGGCTTTGTCGAGCACTAAGTGAATCGGAAAAGCCTTTAGCGATTTTTTCAGGCCTCTGAGACATTGTCTGAGGTGAGTTAGACCTAAAATGGTTGGAGTTAGTTGAAAAAGTAGAGGAGGAACAAGCACATTAAATGAGTTTTCATCATTGGAACATTTTGTCGCCTTCTTCTGACATGTGTCCTGACGCGACAAGTTAGGGCATTGTGCAACTTATAGTGAACTTGAGTTCATAACTCCTTTCTTTAGTTGATCTGAATCGTCTAGCATTCTTTGCCTTTAAATAGGAGAAGTTAAGCTTTTTGGAAACCTTTTTGCAATCTTTGACATTCAAACTCATCTACTTACACTTTTACCACTTTCTTTCTAAGAGTGTTAATCCTGATGATTGTAGTTCTATGGTTAAAATCTCATCTTTCTTCATTTCTTCTGTTTCAACAAATTTACATAACCAGGTATCATCCTAAACTCAAACTTCCATATTCAACAATTCATGATTTATGGTTAGGATGAGTGATAATACGGTTAACCTAGCGATGGATTTTGAGGGAAAAATTCATCTAAATCAAGAATGGGGACATCCTCTAATTCTCACCTCTCTCCTCTTGATCATAATCTTCTGGAACCAGAAGTCATATCTTTATCTGACCATTATGACTAAAAACGGGTATATGGGGATTCCTTGGAGGAAGGAACTTCTTCATTTGGCTCATTAGAAGCCATTTTATCAAATTTTGGCGAAGAGGTGAATCACGTTGAGATCCTGATGCCCCACCCATAACAAAGGAGGAAATACAATCCAAGTAGCAAAGGAGAGAATGCGCTAAAAGCTTTATCTAAGTTTTCCTGAAGACCAATAAATATGAACCTAGCAACGTTGAGGTGAAGACTAACTTGGATCTTTAAAGTCAGCCAGACGCAACAAAGCTCGACTGGGTGGAAGCATGAGTAATGGTACTCCTTTCATTTTTAATATTGAGGAAGTATTAGAGGCTGCAAGTATCGTGTTTGGAGATACTCTAGAATGGTCGGATCTCCTAGTGGGCCCTAATAAGAGGATATGCAGTTCTTTCAATGAATGTGTGGTCCCTTTATATGAATGAATGTTCACAAGGGGTAGGACTGCAGCTACCTTTCTCCAATTTTGAAGTGGGCTTCCTAAAGCACTTAACTAAAAGTTGTTTCTTTCCAGATTCATCCAAGATCCTGGGCCTTCAAGAGGGTATTCTAGTTGTGTGTCGAGCATAAATCCTAGAAATCTTCCCTTGGATTATTCCCTAATTTGTTCCACCTAAGACATACCTCTCAGGATAACTTCCACGATCAGGGGCTCATTAGTTTCTATTTTGACAATTTTTGGTTCAACCCCTTCACCCGGGACTGGGGTGATTTCTTGGGGCGCTTTTTGCTTGTGAGAACCCTACGTTAAAGGCCCATCTCACTTGATGATACTCTCTTTCTAATTCTTTTGGCTTATGTAAAACTTCATTCCTAAAGTTCTGGTCTTCAATTCACTTTAACCAGGATTCTCATTCCTATCATGTCGTACTACTACAAAATATATATTTTATGACAATGGTTTCACCTCACGTAATAAAAACCCGAGGTATAATACCTGTACGTACCATGTTTTATTTTTCTTTCCAAAAATAACAATCTATTACATCGGTTTTATAATAAACTGAAGGGTAAACTAGTTTAGGTTACATGCTTTGAAACCCAACAACAACATGTTTTGTTTTTATTTATTTAAATGTGGCACCTTTATTTTTATTTTAGTTTTTACTTAACTTACAAATAATATATTCCATCGGTTTCCTTAATAACCGAGGGGTATTGTACCCAACTTTAACTATAAAATCATTCGTTCACTAAGTTTTTTTCCTAAACCTAACTCATATTAGTTTCCTTAACAATCGAGGGGTATTATACCCAGCTTTAACTATAAAATGATTCGTTCACTAAGTTTTTTTCGTAAACCTAACTCATTTTTACAGTGTCTCCATATTTGTAAACATCATTCTTTGGGATGAATATCCATAAAGAAAAATTATTTGTTTATATGTTGTTGTTGTTCTTCTAACGCCCACCTTTAACAAATCATTTTTCTACTCTTGTTATCCATCTCACATAATGTTGTTGTTTTTGTTGTTGTTGTTGTTTTGGTTTTTATTGTTCTTGTTGTTGTTGTTCTACCTCTTGCCAATGTTTAATTTGTAAAAGAAAACATTGTTATATTTTGGATATATATCATATTTTATTAATATACAAATTTACTTATATTACCTTAGTTTATTTAGTAACCAAGGGGATACGTCCCTATTTTAGGTTATTTTTTATTTTAAAAGAATTAATATTAGACTTTGGTTTATTAAAAAACCGAGTGAACAAATAATTCAGTTTTTCTCAATATATCTTTGTCGTCCATTTATAAAGTAACATCACTCAAGATATTTCTAACACATCAATCCACAAGAAATCCTCTACGTCCATTCAGAATGCGAACACCATCCATGTATATATAGGGCGCTACGTAATAAAACCTAGACATTGTTGTGAAACTCAAATGTTATTGTGAAACCCTCTACGTTTAATCATAGCACCATGATATTTTATATAAGAAAAAGTATCACTGTGATAGATTGTAAGAGCAAAAAAAAATAGGTTTATTTAATATATGGTTGATGAGAGTGTATCATTGTGATAGATTGCCAAAGATCTTTGTGATGGATTGCAAGAACAGAAGAAAAAAAATTTGGTTCACGATTGGTTTTCTAACATAAATTATGATCATATAACTGCAAGTTTATTTTATTTATCTAATATTTTTCTTATTTGATATCATAAACAAATGCATGCAGTACCTAACATCTATTCTTCTACAAGGGTCAAATAGAGCGGATACTAGTATTTCCACCCCAAATTTATAGTGATAAAGATGATTCAAACAGTGATAAATATGATTGGAATTCACAATTGGTCAAACATGTATACTTGTAGATTCAAACGATAAAACATGTAATATAAATAACTTTGCCTATTAATAAAGCGTGAGATATATGTTTCTTTCAGTTTTTTAAACAATGTAAAATAAGAAACTTTGTGTGTGTGTGTGTGTGTGTGTGTGTGTGTGTGCGTGTGTGTGTGTGTGTGTGTGTGTGTGTGTGTGTGTGTGTGTGTGTGTGTGTGTGTGTATATATATATATATATATATATATATATATATATATATATATATATATATATATATATATATATATATATATATATATATATATATATATCCCCTCTGTTATAGCAATTATCGAGAGGTAAAGTGGTGCCTTTTAAAAATATTAATATGTAGTTGCTAGGGATCAAACCCATTACATGTTCAACGCTTTTCCCTTCGGTTATTTTAAAATCGAGGGATAAAGTGGAAATTTTTTATGTCTCCCTTCGTTACCTCTCCTGAGTAACCGAGGTACAATCCACTTCAAGTCCAAGGTAAGATGTGTTTTTTATTGTAGTGCATGTTAGACTTTCTTTCTTTGGACAAGGTGGCAATGAAAGAGGAAATACGATATTGGTTCCATGGACTTGGTTACGAGGAATGGTTTGGCCCTAGCGATTTGCGTTATGTCGAGGTGAGAAAAAAAGCAAATTGACACTTGTACCATTGTGAATGCAGTCAACTAGGAGGATAGGAAAAAGATATTTGGTGAGGACGTGGTCCTAGATTTTTTTAAATTTTCTATGTGTTTTGTAGATAAGATGGATAAGCTGAAGATACTTTA